ATTACATCTGAATGTCAAGAAAGCAAAAAATCCTCACCACTGGACCAATAAACAACATTCTTATAAACGGAGAAAAGATTGAAGTTGTCAAGGACTTCATTCTTCTTGGATCAACTATCAACACTCATGGGAGCAGCAGTCAAGAAATCAAATGACGTATTGCATTAGGCAAATCTGCTGCACAAGACCTTTTTAAAGTGTTGAAGAGCAAAGACGTCAGCTTGAAGACTAAGGTGCACCTGACCCAGCCATTTACTGAAAATACTCAGGTATTTTCAATAACCTCATATGCATGCGAAAGCTGGACAGTGAATAAGAAAGACCATAGAAGAATTGATGCATTTGAGTTACGGTGTTGGAGGAGAATATTGAAAGTGCCATGAGATACCAAAAGAACCAACAAATCTGTGTTGGAAGTAATGCAGCCACAGTTCTCCTTGGAGGCCAGGATGGCCAAACTTCGTCTCTCATACTTCGGACATATTGTCAGGAGGGACCAGTCGCTGAAGAAGGTTATAATGTTTGGTAACGTGTAGAGTTAGACAAAAAGAGGAAGGCCCCCAGCGAGATGGACTGGCAAAATGGCAACATCAGTGGGCTCAAGCGTGGCAACAATTGTGAGACTGGCCCAGGACCGGGCAGTGTTTCGTTCTGTTGTGCATAAGGTCACTATAAGTTGGTACCAACTCAATGACAACTAACAACAACATAGTCTTCAAGGCGTCCTGGTGTGGCACTGTGAGCTAATGCACTAGACTTCAAGGTCTGTTTGAACCACAAGGTTGGTGGGGTTCCAGTTCACCAGCAGCTCCTCGGAAACCCCATACAGGGTTGCTGTGAGTCAGAACCAACTCAAAGGCACTTATTTAACAACAATAGTCTTCTCATTGATTCCGTTAACCATATTTCTGGATCACTATGGTACAGGGTCGCTGTGAGTCAGAACTTACTCGACAGCACTTAACAACAGCAACATGGTATCCAAGGAGTCCTGCAGTGGCACTACAGGATAAGCATTGGACTGATAACTGAAAGGTCAGTGGTTCAAACTTATCAGCCACTCCTTGGAAACACTATGCAGGGTCATTATGAGTGATTCTAGTCGGTTCTGACCGACTAGATGGCACAACACAACAACAAAGTACCCGGAAGGAGCCCTGGTGGCAAAAAGGTTAAAGAGCTCAGCTACAAACCAAAAGGTTGGTGGGTTGAACATACCCACCACCCTGTGGCCAAAAGATATAGCAGATTGCGTCTGTCAAGATTTACAGCCTTGGAAACCCAGCCTTGTAATGAGTTGGAATCAACAGGTTTATGGTGTCCAGGAAAGCTCCGAGCCAAGATGAAGAGAAGTTAGAGGGCTTTGAACAAGTTTGATCTATGGCTGATGCAGTGAAATCAGAATGTTGTTGTTACGTACCATAGAGTCGGTTCCAACTCATAGTGACCCTGCAGCGGGCTTCCGAGGCTGCAAATATTTATGGGAGCAGAAAGCCTCATCTTGGTCCTGTGGAACAGCTGGTAGTTTCAAACTGCCGACCTTGAGGTTAGCAGCCCAATTCGCAACCACTACGCTACCAATAGATCTAAATTTATAAAATGTGGGCATAGCAGAATAAGAAAGACCATAGAAGAACTAGAATGGGAAAAATTACAGTCAATGGATGCCCTGAAATAGGAGACTGGGAAGAGTAAGAAAGAGTAGTTAGCCCTTTCAGGAGCCTGATGAGTAACACCAGAATACTCCAGGACTGCGGAGAGTGACACACATTCAAAGCTACACAGGTGACTGATATCTTCGAGCCAGGCACCATTGTTTACAACTCTGCCAGTCAAGAAATTTGGTTGCTATGCAATGAGCAAGTTCTCCTTGTTTTCTAAAAGGAAGAATAAGTTATTAGCAGGATGCCGACCCATAATTTTTCCAGTTCCCATTATTTTTCTATTATATGCACATTTTACAAATTCAGGTCTGTTCAGGTTTCAATATGTTGCCCATGTCAGAACTGAGAACAACCATTCTGAATCCGTGCTGGAAGGCAACCACCCTGTAATTACGCAGGCATGTCAGAAAGGAGAGGAGAGAAAGGGCCTGAAAGAAACCAAGTCTATCATGTCTGAAGTTGATAAGGAGGTAGGTTAGAAAGTGTTTTAAAGCTAGATCATTAATGTAGACCACAAATAGGCTTTCCTACTTGGGGTGTAACCACTTTAACTGCATTAATAGGTATGTCTCTAAATTAAACTATTGGAATGAAGACCAGGTACCTCCATTCCTTATACCACCCCACTCACACACACACACACAATTCATCCATTCAATGTAAAATAATTCCCAAGTATTGATGCTCCATATTATTAAACTATTTAGAAGAAAAGGAAGGGAGGGAGGAAAAGAGGGAAAAAAAAAAAACTCTTTCAAGTCATCTTATGGTCCAAATCATGGAAGAAAAAATTAAATTGGAGAGTGCATTTTAATACCATTATCTAAGTTTGCCTAAGAAACCCAGATCCTAGTATGTTGTTGTTGTTATATGCTGTGCAGTCAGTTCTGACTCATAGCAACCCTGTACAGGATTCCGAGGCTGTAAATCTTTATGGGAGCAGAAAACCTCATCTTTCTCCTGCATAACAGCTGGTAGTTTCGAACTGCTGACTGTGAGATTAATAGCCTGATTCCTAACTACTTCGCTAGCTACCAGAGCTCCCTCCCGCAGTCAAGTCAGTCACATCTCATAGCAACTCTGTATAGGATTTCCGAGGAGCAGCTAGTGAGTTCGAACTGCTGACCTTTCAGTTCAAGCTGACCTTGCAATCCAGTGCCTTATCTTACAGCACCACACCAGGACTCCAAGATCTTGATATACCTTATTATTATTCCCTATCCTGATGACAATGTTGTTGTTGTTGTTATGTGTCACGGAGTGGGTTCCAACTCATAGCGACCCTGCACAGGGTTTCCCAGGCTATAAATCTTTATGGGAGTAGACAGTACCGTTTTTCTCCTGCAGTTCCTATTTCTCAGGCTCACTGTTAAATCCTCCCTGCATTATCATAACTTAGGTATAACATCCTAGAATACGGTTATTATCATTCACATTTCACTGATAAGTAACGTGAGTCTCTGAGAAATTAATTACCCAAGCTCACTCACCCAACAAATGAGGATTCTAGAGTCATTCGTCGCTGAGAGCCCACATCACATCTTTCCACCACACTGAAGAGCCTGACTCATTTCCCCCAGAGCCTCCAGAGCCTTTGTTGTTGTTAAGTGCCTTTGAGTCCTTTTTGACCCATAGCAACCCAGTATAGGGTTTCTGAGTAGCAGCTGGTGAGCTTGAACCACCAACCTTGTGGTTCAAAGCGACTTTGCAGTTCAAAGCATTAACCCACAATGCCACACCAAAACTTCCCTCCAGAGCCTAGTACTTAGTAGTCCTGGTGTGGCTCTTGCACTGGACTGCAAGGTCAGTTTGAACCACAAGGTCAGCAGTTCAAGATCACCTATACAGCCTCACTATGGGTCCAACGTCCATGGCACTTAAAACAACAACAATAAATTCAAAGAAAACTGAAGTAAATGAGTTAAATAGAAAGAGCAACCTTTGGTATATTTGATGGCAAAGTCATTTGAACTATAAGATTCAAGTTCACCAGTCGCTCCGTGGAAAACCTATACAGGGTTGCTATGGATCAGAACCGACTCGACAGCACTTAATACCACGGATTCTACGACATCAATTTGGGACTCCAGGGAGAACCATCTCCACCCTAACTGTGCCCAGCACCCAGGTGAGTACCAGGCAGTTGTCCCGCCCTCTATTCCTCTCAGCTCCCAGAGCTGGAGTGCAGAAACAATGAAGAAACGGATCTAAGGCCTGAGGTGAGTGGTATGCATGGAAAGCAGACAAGTACAGCATGTGCCTGAGAAATTTTGCTGCCTGACTCCCTGCAGTGATTTCGTTTGTGTCTGGCTTCCCATAAACAAAAGCCAAACAATGAGAGGAAGGAATACCAGGAGGCACCAGAGCAAGCTGGAAGGAGAGGAAATTGGTGGTACACAACAGGGCGGTTCCCGGCCACTGATCTGCTACCGCAGAGCGCATACATTTCCTTCACTCTCAAAGCTCTCCAAGGAGGAAAGAAAGTTGGTGGGTTTTTAATTTTTTTCTTTTCTTAAGACCAAAAAAGGAAGGCTGGCTACTAAGGAAAGTATCACTATCACTGGCCAACACTTGGGGCACCCTTTCAAAGCCCCGGACTTCTATACTGAGTCTCTTTGTACTCTTTCTCCTCTCCCACCACCCCATTCTGGATGAATGTAAAATCAAACTAGGATGAATTGGAGGTAATTCAACCCCTGATGAAGGCTTCTGAAGTCAAGGAGAAGCCAATCACAGGAGCAGGTAGAAATCCTGAAGTCATGAATGCAGAACATACGCTTCTCTGCACCTGGCAATCCTCACTGGTTCCAAGGGTGGTGTCCTGGCTTCTCCCTGGGCACCCGCCTGTCCCTCTTGCCCACAGCGGCACCCTTTCCATGCCCTCTGTCCACCCAAGGACTGGTGGCGCTAGCTGTATTTCAAATTTCAAAGGCGAAGGTGTCCGGGACTCACCCTCGCTCCTTCGCTGGTCTTTCTCTTGCTTAGCCATAATCTGCCTTCCCAAAGTACTAGTTTTCTGAATTTTCTAAGAAATTAACTGTTCTGTGTGTCCATCGATTTCCCCCAATCTTCCAGGATTCCTAGCGTTTGCTCTTCTTGCCACATATGACCCCAGTGAGAGTTCGACACGGCAGATGGGGAAGAGGCAGGGGGCAAACATCTTAAACTTTGGGAAAGTTTTCAAAGGACTGAAGATGGGGGATGGGGGCGCTGTCCTGGAGAAATGGGAGGAACACTTGTTGATCAGGGGTGGGAAAGTTTGCCAGGCTCCACCTCCCTGGGGCGTCCTGCTCCCCGCCCGACACAGTGAAGCATTCCACCTGGCCCAACACTTACCTTGAGGCCGCGGATCTCGCCTAGGTGCAGCTGCAAGCGTCGGTTCACCTCGCGGATGAGGTTGCTATGGTCCAGCATCGCGCTCACCTTCTCTGCCTCAGCGCGCCGCAGGCTGCGGATCAGATCCTCTTTGCTCCACTGCAGTAGCTCCTCATCCGACACTTTAGACAGGTCCTCCACCACGGAGGCCGCAGATGAGCCAGCAGGGGCTGAGGGACAACTTTCAGCCGCCGCTGCTGCGCCTCCGGCCGCCTTAGACATGATATCCGAGGGGTGGCAGGTGGGAGTGGGTGGAAAAGGCAAAGAGACTCCCGAAGGCACGGGCGCAGCGGGACCGCCTCCGCCCACACCCTGTGCGCTCCAGCGAGTCAGCGGCACCGCCCGGGGCCCGCTGGGCTGGGGTCTCGATGAGCAGCCATCCTACGTAGCCATCCCCATGCGAGTGCCCGCGCACCCCCAGGGCCCGGCTGTCGCCAGAGCACTGCTGCCGAGGTGCGTCCCAACTCCGCACAAGTCCATGGTGAGGGGCGCCGGAGAGCAGGCGCCTTGGCTGGAGAACCTCAGGGACCTGCGCGGGACGAGGACGAGACTGCACCCCTGTTCCTTTGCCCTCTCCTCCGCCCTAATTCGAAACTGACACCCCCTTCACGCCCTCTAGCTCTTGCGTTCTCTCTTTCACACACATACACACCCGCGCGCGCGCACACCAAGCACTTTCCTCCCCCTTGCCCAGCTGCAGCCCCCGACTTCTCTCTCCTCTCCTAGCAGCGCTCAAGCTACGCAGCCACTGCTATCCAAAGGGTCTGAGCTGCCCGTCGGCTGCTGCCTTCTCTACGCCCGCCGCCGCTTCTAGGCTGCTCCTGGGAACCTTCGACTTGCAGAGCCCAGGCGATGGGGGCGGGGAGGGGGAGAAGACTAGACCGGCAGAATAAGGAACCTGAAACTAGGCCGACAAACTAGCGGCCAGACTCGGCTACCACAAGACAGCCTCCGGAGCCCGGAGGCTCGCTCCCAGCTATCCCGCCCGGGAAAGCCGGGGGCGCGGCTCCTTCAGCGCCCTGGCGCGGGCGGGGCGAGAAGAGCGAGAAAGTGTGGCCGCCCCGCCTGTGAGAGGCTAGCGCGCGCCACCATGTGGCCGAAGAAGTTCCCAACCTTGCACCCTGTACATTCAGGCTTAACTCCAGTCAAGGCAACAAACAGCTGCCTACTAAATGAGAGGTGTTTGATATTGGGAGGGATTGGGGTCCAGAGATGATATAATAGGACCTTAAATGGGACCTTAAATGGGAGCAAAGGGAGCTCTGGTAGTGTAGTGGTTACTAGTCGGGTTGCTAACTTCAAGGTCAGCAGTTATAAACTACCAGCAGTTTTGCGGTAGAAAGATGAGGCTTTCTGTTCCCTTAAAGATTCACAAGCTCGGGAACGCTATGTTGGGTCCCTTATGAGTGGAAACCGACTCCCCGGTACATCACCACCGCCACCATCCCCAAATGGGAGAAAAAGCCGGTTGCAAAGATGAGAGAGGAGGGGGTGAGTGACATTTACGAAAATTCGGGTGATCTGAAAAGGATAAAAGGGGCTTCAGGCCAAAGCTCTTTAGGGACCTCCTCACCGGACCCCACCTCCGGGGCTTCCTTATTTCTGAAAATCCTGGACTTTGTGAAGAAGCTTCCAGAGAAACTACTGGATCTCTTCAATTTTTATTTGAAAAGCATCAAAGCCTTTAGGGGAAAATAAAACACCTTTGTCTCCCACTGCCTAAAACTTGAATTTTAAGGTCAGCAGTTACCTCCCCTCAGAGCAAAACAAGGTCCCTGAGGCAAGCTGAAATGCCAGCCAAGAAGATTTCCATTTTCCTCCCTGCCTCAGGCGGCCACGTGTTTAATAGTTCGGCTTTTTAAGATGGTAATTTCTGGAAGGAGCAGGGTGAATCCCCGAGTTCTATCCTTAGCCTGCAAGACACCTTCCCCTCCTTAACTAATCCCACCCCCAATTCTAACACTGGACAGCTAACCACAAGGTCAGCAGTTCAAGGGCACTCACTAGTCTCTCAGCTGGAGAAAGATGAGGTTTTCTGCTGTTGGAAAGATTGATAGCCTCAGGAAGCTTATGCAGCGTCAGAATGGCCACCAAGGGCTTTTAACAACTGTGAAGCTGCAAGGAATCTTCTCTGAGCTGCAAACGGTTTTTTGCCTGAAGAAGTTGATGTACTGGGGGCTCTAGGTATCATTTAGGTGAATACTTTCTAGTCCTGCTGGCACGGTGGGTTAAGTGTCAGACTGCTAACTAAAAGGTTGGTTTGAACCCACCAGCAGCTCCTAAAGAGAAAGATGAGGCAGTCCACTTGTGCACACAGATTTTCAGACTCCGAAACCCTTGGGAGCAGTTCTACTCTGACCTTAAGGTCACTATGAGTTAGAATTGACTATAGGACAGTGGGATTTGCAGTGTTCTTTTCCAGGATGGGGACATAAAAAGAAAACTACACAGATTCACCCTTACGGGGCTAAAGAAAACAAGGGTACAGAAAGAATCTGTGGGGTGAGATATTAAATCAGAGTTGCTGTGCCAACAAGCCAGTGTATGTATGTTCCTGATTTTAAAAATACAAAACAAAAAACTGTTAAAAGATGACCAACTGGGGACTTCTTAATATCTGGCTTCCTGAAGAGAAAGGATAAGTTCCTGCTGGCATGCCCACTGAAGGTACTTCTCAACACAGGTCCCAAAATCAGCTTTGGAACAGGAAGAGGAGGACACAAGGCAGAAAAATACAAATCCTTTCTCTATCACTTATTTTTTCTTTACCTTGAATAAGTAATCTAAACTTACTGAACCCTAGGGAACTAATGACATAAAGTACAAAAAGTAATTTATAAAGCTCCCTTTCAAAAACGCAATCTTTTTTGCTGAGCCTAGGGTAAGCACGTAACAGCAATGTCAGTTTGAACAAAATCTGTGGTTCAAATCCACCAGCCAATCCTCAGAAATACTATACAGGGTCACTATGAGTCAGAACCAACTTGATGGCACTTTAACAACAACAAATGTGTTATAGGATAAGCACTAGACTTCCAACCACAGGTAGTTGGTTCAAACCCACCAGCCACTTCTTGGAAACCCTATACTGGGTTGTTATGAGTCAGAACTGAATCCACAACACTTAGCAATGACAACGACAGGGGCTCAGAACCATAATCTTGGGGGACACCATGGTCAAGTGGTGTCACATGGTCCATGGGGTTGATGGTCTACATTCTACTTTGGTGAGTACCAACTGGGATCTTAAAAGTTCATGGGTGGCCATTTAAGGTGCAATTATTAGCCTCTTGCTGTCTGGAGGAAAGAGTGATAAAAACTGAAGATGCTTGGAAATGGTCTAATGGACTACTGGAACCATGGGAACATTAGTCATATGATCCTGAGATTAGAAGAATTAGATGAAACTTGGTACACTACCAACTGCTCTGAAAGGGATCACATTAGAAGGTCCTGGATACAGCGAGAAATATTATGGAACAAAATAAAACCATAAAAAAGACCAGTATTACTGGTCAGATAGTTGTTGTTAACAGTGCTGTTGAATTGGTTTCCTGTATAAGGTTTCTGAGGAATGGCTAGTGGGTTTGAATGACTGACTTTATGGTTAACAGTCCAGTGGTAGAATCCTGAAACTATGGCCCTTGATCACCCTTCAAGTCTAGTCTGGAACTGAACTCACCTTTGTGGCTCAATTTCAGCTAAGCAATAGATAGGTATATAGTCAGGACAACAACACTAATGATGTATGCACAGCATAGAATGGTCAGTCATTTGAGATAAAAAACACAGCATTTACCTAAGAACAAAATTCAGAAGGGGGTGAAAAGAAGGAGGAATGGCAATAAGAAAAACAGGAGAAGTAAGGTAAGTGATGTTATATTGAGTGGGTTGCATCTGAGATGCAGTAAAGTGCATTACCTGTTGAATGTGAAACTGATGGCCTGCTCTGTAAACTTCACTTAGTTCAAAATAAATAAATAAAAATTAATATAATCTTATTACAACTGATATTACATTCAGACATCTCCTTCTATGAAAAAGGAAACCACTATCTCTTTATTCTTCTATCACATATTCTTCAAGAGTCCTATTCTAAAATGAACAGCTTACTCTGCTGATTCCCTCGGATCAATACACTGAAGTATTAGAGGGCAGATAGATGGAGGAAGAATTGGACTTGTATTGGGAAGACAAGGAAAGATAAGAAAACCAAAGAACAATTTCTCCACAAATTTCTGTACTCTACCCACTAGACCCCAATTCCTGGTGTGGTGTTGTAGGATAAACACTGGACTGTGAAACACAAGGTCAGCAGTTCAAACCCATCAACTGCTCCTCAGAAACCCTGTAAGGGTCACTATGAGTCAGAGTAGACTCGATGGCACTTAACGACAGCAATCCACTATACCCACTGCCATCAAGTCCATTCTGACTCATAGTGGCCCTATATAGGGTTTCTGAGACTGCAAATCTTTATGGAGAAGAGACTCTGATGTTTCTCCCTAAGAGCAACTGGTGGATTTCAATCACCAACCTTGTAATTTTCAGCCCAATACCTAATCCATAGCTCCACCAGGGCTCCTTATATACACCTGTTGTTGTTTCTTAAGTGTCATTGAGTCAGAGCAACTGTTGGTTTCAACTGCAAATGTTGTGGTACACAGTCCAATGCTTATCTTTCAATGTCACACCAGGTCTCCCTATTTACACTGATGTTGGTGCTGTCCAACTCATAGTGACTCTGTATAGGGTTTCTGAGGCTACAAGTCTTTACTGGAGCAGAAAGCTTCATCTTACTCCCAAGGAGCAGCTAGTAGACTCGAACCACTGACCTTGCAGTTAGCAGCCAAATGTGTAAGCCATCATGCTACAAGGGCTCCTTCCTATATACGCTTGTTGTTGTTAAGTGCCATTGAATCAGTTCGGACTCATAGCCAACCTATCTAGGGTTCTGAGACTGTACATCGTTGCAGGACCAGAAAGCCTCATTTGTCTCTGGTACACTGGTTGATAGGTTCAAAACACTGAACTTGTTTGCAGTTCAGTGCTTAGGCCTATGGAGCCACCATACTACCATATACACCAGAAGCTGCTAATTGTTAGGCTAGAACCTTGATAAGGTTCTTGGGTTTCTAATTTTGATCTTTGGTTCAGGATAATTGAGTAATGTCACTTTATGTTGCTAAACTTATGTATGGTATCAATTATTAACTGCATTTGGTTCTAAAAACAAAAACTCAAAGAAGTAAAAATTTCTCTATATTCAGATGATATATCTTCTTCTTGTTAAGTGCTGTCAAGTCGGT